ATATTGAAATGAATATATGAGTATTATTCTCTTTCACCTTCATAGTAGGAAGTGAACATTAATCAGCTATACATAAGATACTTTTTATTACTAAAGCAACCTGTGAAAATTATGTAGAGAAAAGAGAGTGAGCATAAATGAATTCACTAAGATTTAAAAGTCTTTTTCCAATCTTGAGATTGTTTAATAGATTTCCCTCAAAACCAGTCTTTATAGGCTGAGAAAGTACAATCATGTTCTTCTCATGTACATCCTATTTGATATCTGTTCAACATGCAAAATGTATTAAATTAATTAAATTAACTAATACAGCAGTGTAACAAAATAACCCTGTTGTGGATTTAAAAAAAAAAAAAAAAACCTCAAGTTTAGGATGCTTGTTTTTTTTTTTTTTAATTTGTATGATTACTTTGTTACTTATGAGTTCTACTAAAATATTTTTTCAATATTCAACAAATATTGCTTTCTGCAAGATACCAGTGTTTCTCTTTTTATAATTTTACACTCAAATTTCCTCTAAAGTATTATCTTTATTTGTTTTTAATGTTTATTAATGAATCTATTTTATATCTAAGGCATCTTTCTCTTTACAAAATAGCTTGATCACTCCTTCACGGATCTTGTTGGTCTTTACTCCATAGACAATGGGATTTAGAGTGGGAGGACATATCAGAGGTGAAACCATCAGGTGCAGGAATTTCATTAATGAGAAAATTTATATTACTGAGTCTATTTACTTACCCATTTTTGGTGAAATCAGATTTTTCTATTCTTGATTCAGTAGTTTTAGATTCTATGTGACTAGAATTTCATAGGTTTCTTCTAGTTTATCCAATTTGTCTGTGTAAAAATAGTGACAATAATCTCATGGTATTTAAATTTCTATGAATTCTGTTATAATGTTTCCTTCATCTTTTTTCCTTAATGTAGCTAAGGGTTTGACTATTTTGTTTGTCATTAAGAAAACTATTAGACTTATGGATCTTTATTTTTCTCCAGTATTAATTTCTGCCATGGTCTTTATTTTTTCTTTCCTTCTCCCAATTTGCATTTAGTTTGTTCTTCTTTTTTAAGTTTTTCAGTATATTATTAAGTTGTTTGAGATCCTTCTTTTACTTCTTTGATATAGGCATATATAGTTCTAAATATCCCTCTTAGAACTGTTTTGCTGCATCCTGTAAGTTTTTCTATGTTATATTTTTGTTTGTCTCAAGATATTATTTAATTTCTATTTTTTTATAATTTGTTGTTCCAGAACAGATTGGATAACTTCCACATATTTTTTTCTTATTTTATATGAAAGTTTTCTTATATTTCTCCTACTATTGATTCCTACTTTCAACCATGGTAGTCAGAATGGATATTAGACATGATTTCAATCTTCTTAAATTTATTGACATGTTTTATGATATATACAGAAAATTGAGTTATGTGTCATTGAAAAGAGTGCATATTCTGCTGTTACTGGATTAAAAAACCACACCACTTTTAAACAAATCTCTTTTTTTGAATCAAATACCTTTTACTCCATATTTTAAATATAGAAGAGTGAATTCAAGGTTCCAGTGCATTGTGCAATCTTGCTTATTTATCACCTTTTCTCTAAGAGGACTTTGGAAATCATTTTAAGGTTGGCTCCACAGTTTAGCTATTGTGAATTGTGCTGCTGTAAACATTGATGTGGCTGTGTCCCTGTAGTATGCTGTTTTTTGGTCCTTTGAGTATAGTCCAAAGAGGAATAGCTGAGTCAATTGGTGGTTCCATTCCCAGCTTTCCAAAGAATCTCCATACTGCTTTCCAAATTGGCTGCACTAATTTGCAGTGGATGAATGTATAAAAAAGTGGCATTTATACAAAATAGAATATTACTTGGCACTAAAAAAGAATAAGATCATGGCATTTTCAGGGAAATGGATGGCATTAGAGAAGATTATGCTAAGTGAAGTTAGACAATCCCAAAAAAACAAATGCCAAATGTTTTATCTGATATAAGGGGGGTGACTCAAAGTGGGGTAGGGGGGATAGCATGGGAGGAATATTACTTCTAGATAGGGAATAAGGGTGGGGGGAAAGGGAGGGAGAAGAGGAATATCTAGGATGGTGGAAGGAGATGGTCATCATTATACAAAATACATGTATGAAGATGTGAATTTGGTGTTAACATAGCTTATATGCAAACAGAGATATGATAAATGGTGGTATAAAGGTGTATTAAGAATTGTATGCAAAAAAATAAGAGAGCTCATGTATAATGGCATAATTTGGCGTGAACATATTTTATATACAGAGTTACGAAAAATTGTGTGTGAGTAGATAATTATGAATGTAACGCACTCCACTATAGTCATGTATGAAATAAATAGATAGATAGATAGATAGATAGATAGATAGATAAAATAAAATAAAAAATGACCATTCTTGGTTAAGAGATTAAAAAAAAAAGAAATAATTTTAAGGTTTTTGTTTTCCCCCTGGCGTTGGGGATGTCTTTATATGTCTTGAAAGAAAAACCTCATCTATGTTATTTTTCTCTTTAAGAGAATGTAAATTTGTCACTGACTGATAAAAAGAGACAGAACTCTGTTAAGTAATATTCCAGTTAAACTTTTGGCTTCCTTTTGCCTATTCTGTGACACACAAACCTCAAGCAGCATTGGAAACTTGTGGGAGGAAGCAGGTCACATGGTTGCTTCTGGTACTTTGTTTCCATTTTCATTGTATGTCACACGTGTGGCCATCTGAAATGGTTGGCTAAATGGTCCTTGACATCAGGAGAAGCAGGACAAGTTCATTACACTTGGTATCACTTCATCACTCCCTTCCTTTCCCTTTCATTGACGATATTAATATTTCTTATGTTTAGAAAGAAAATTGTGGTTTTACTAAATTGAAACCTTGGATTTCTTTGAATCTAATACTTTGGTTCTAGATCTAATCAAACTTTGTGAGGTTGGTAATGAAATACCAGGTCTTTTTCACCAAACTCTATCTCATAAGCTAGGTATCTGGGTGCAAGATGAAATTTAACATGAGGCCTCTTATAATTAACTCTCTAGTCTTCTCTTCTCCTCTGTGTTCCCCCTCAACTATCTCCATCTCTCTCTTCTCTTCTCTCTCTCTCTCTCTCTCTCTCTCTCTCTCTCTCTCTCTCCCATGAACAAGGATTAGAATTTGTTTCATTACTACCTACTTTATTGTTCTTTTAACAGTTCTCAAATATTCCAGTATATGGGCTCAATTCAGATATGTCCTAATTTTTAGAGTTATGGCATTTTCCCTCTGAAACCCAATTTTGAGTTCATAATGGAGAACATAATAAAATCAACTGGAGATGGTTACTCACATGGCATAGATGAATTTTATCCATCCAGATTTTTAGCTATGGTCTAGTTTTACATTGTGGCTATTAAAATTCCCTCATCCTCCCCCCAATCACATAGGCCTAAGAACATTATAATTATTGAATTTTAATCTTAATGCTCTAAGATGCACCCAGTTTTGTTGCTTATAGTGTTTATATTCCTCATTCATAAAGTAGTTTGATTGACCTCATAATTTTGAAGAAAAATCTCAATGAAATTGATATATATGAAGAAATGGTATAATGCCTTACAATATGTATATGTTTAAAACTGGCAATTTTAAAAAAGTATTTTTTTGACTAGTGTGAACATATTTGGTGTGGCTTAAATGAGATTCCCTGATAAACAAAATTTACCAAATTCAAAAGCATAATTCTTTGAGTACCTTTAATGATGAAAGCTTATAGTGTGCATTACACGGAGACAGATATAATGTTGGCAAGCTTTAAAAACAATATTTGGGTTTTGCTTCCAAACATAAAAATCATACTGAAAAAAATACATGGTATTATTAAGATATCTCAAAATCACTTGACCACATATGCAACATGATATTAAAAATATATCTTTCATATTAACAGACAATAATTTTCATCACTATATTATCTTCATCAACTTATCCATTCATATCCATTTCCAGAAAACATTCTATGTGTTACAGTTATCCTTTGGATTGTGTCTTACTCTTTCACTGTTTAGTCAATCTTCCTATTTATTGAGAGTGGTATTCACTACTCTCAACATCTTACTCTCATTTCTTTTCTATTTTTTTTCTATAACACTAGAAATCTAAATAAGGCACTCCTTTTTATAGTCCTTGGTCCCATTGTTTCTCCCTCTACATTAGAGTCAGAGCAGTAAAGCATGAGTTTCTTTGCTTGGCCAAATATAAACATTTTCTTTACATTTCCTTTCTTCTACTAAAAATGCCCTAACACTGCCAAATAACATCCATTGTATTCTTCAAAATTCTTTTTAATATTAACTCTAAGGAATTCTTCCAAGAATGTGATAAACTTCAGTAACCATACTTATTGCAAATATTTGTATACACAGTGGTACAATGACAAGAAGCCAAATAATTATTAAGGCAGCATAATGTCAGTGATAACAAGCAGGAAGAAATTTGATGTTTGCACCTGAAATTGATACAAGTTTCATGTATATATGGAATAGAAAAGATGGCAGGATCCTTGGACTTCAACACAAGCATTCTGGAGAACAGTTTCCTGCTTCTCTGTTACAAAGGGGACAGAGTGTGTCTTTGCCTTCCCATTGTTCCTTATTCACTGTGGTCTATCTGTCATCCTTTATTCTTTCCTAGATACTCCCTAGAGTGCCTAGAACACAGTTCAATCATCACCAATAATTCACTTGAAGTTGGATATCTTACTGTTCCCTTCTTTATACACATTCCAGGAGATCCAACTAAACATTAAAAAAAATGTAAAAAGCATGTTTTGTGTTTTCTATCAAATCAGAGGTCTTGGATTAAATATTTTGTGATGGTTTCATGAATATTTTTGCAGAATATTCACTAGTACTTTCTCCTAGACTTACAATTTTGAATTTTGCAATTCCTCCTCAAAAACATCCTTGAGCTTTATTCAAAATACAAAATTATATATCACATAGCCATCACAGGTTGAAACCTTCTTTCTCCCTACAAAACAATTTTATCACTCCCTCACAGATCTGCTTGGTCTTCACTCCATAGACAATTGGATTCAAGGTGGGAGGCAGCAACAGGTAGAGGTTGGCTATAAAAATGTGAACATGGTGAGGTATGGTGTGTCCCCCAAAGCGGTGAGTGAAGAAGTTGAAGAAAGCTGGGACATAGGTGATGACGATAGCACTAATGTGTGATGTACAGGTACTGAAGGCTTTGTGGCGAGCATCTGAGGATGATAGATGAATTACAGCACGGATAATCATGGTATAAGATACGGTGATACAGAGTATATCAAAGCCCCCGATCACTATGACAGGAGACCATAGAGAGCATTAGTCCTGATATTGCCACAGGATAATTTAGCCATAGACATATGGTCACAATAGGTGTGTTGGATAAGGTTACCCCTGCAGAAGGGAAGACGCTTGATCAGGAAAGTAAATGGGACTGTGAGCAACACACTTCTAAAGAAGGTGGCAAACCAAACCTTGGTAATGGCAGTATCGGTGAGTATGGAGGAATAGCGTAGAGGGTAGCAAATAGCCACATAGCGGTCCAGAGCCATGAGCATGAGCATGCCAGACTCTGTTATTGTCCACATGTGGATGAAAAACATCTGTACAAGGCAGGCATTAAAGTCGATCTCTTTGAGACTGAACCAAAAGATACATAACATATTGGGAACAAAGGAAGTGCATGCAGAAACATAGGTAAAGGACAGCAAGGCTATGAAGTAGTACATGGGTCGGTGCAGCGCCTCCTCGTGGCTGATGAGATAGATAAGGCCACAGTTCCCCACTACAGCAAGGATGTACATACAGCAGAATGGCAGGGAGATCCAAATGTGTGCGGCTTCCAGCCCAGGGATCCCATTAAGGATAAAGTATGTTGGTGTCAGGCTGGAGCTGTTGGCCTCACCCATGGTGATCAGCTAAAAATATAATACATTCTGTGCCAATAGAGGCATCCTGTACAAGAAGAGAACACTGAGATTATTTTGCTCCAGAGACAAAACATGAATATATATTTTACATGATATAAAGAATAAATTTAGGGTGAAATTTGGGCCCAGATCAAGTTCTTTTATCGTTCTGAATGATGTTAAGCCTGTTACAAAATGGAAAGAATGCACATACAGTGCAAATATAGTGCCAAAACAATGGCCTGGCAGATATCATACAGGAAACTCTTTTTTTTTATGTACCTACTCAGGTTCTCATGCCAATCACATAGGCTGGATTTTGCCCCCTCAATCCATTTCAAAATATGGACTCTGTTTATATAACATTAATTATCTTAACTATCCACAAAATTTCACTTCCTGAAGAAGTCCTCTCACTTGAATCCACTGGGTTACCCTCCATTAAATTATGTGAGCACCTACTTAATACACAAATCTATAATGTGGCTTAGTTTGATTTATTTACACATGTAAATATGAATTTTCCAAATGAGAATAATCAGAAAGTGAAAACACAATGAAGCAAAAATCAAATAATTTCTTACAATTGATAAAGCATAATCATGTGCATTTTACAGAATAATTCTAATTATTTCTTGCTCATAAAATATGAAGAAATTTTTATAATATTTATACTTAAAAAACAACATTGCTAAGCTTTAATTAATTATCTTCTTCCTGTTCTTTTCAAATACCTCTGTAGAAAACTATGATTATAAAAATATTATGCATATAATGCCTATATATTTAATCACAAATATATATATATATATATATATATATATATATATATATATCATGCTATTAATCCATTCTTATAAAATGCATTATAATAATTTGTGTTCTTTTGGAGTTTGACTTTTATTCTCGAAATCACCAGAGACAATTATGTTCAGTAGGGTATAATCCTTATTTTGTTAGTCTATGTTTTAAAAATATTTCTTTCCATCATTCTTCTTTATTTTCAGATTATATCTTGAAAATGATCCTGATTAAAATCATAACACTTTTACATGCTTTTAAAGAAAAATCTTCTTTACCTTATATTAAACAAATATTTCCATAGTTTTTATGGTTTTACATTATCAACCTGAGTTATCCATTTTTCATAGACCTGCATATTTTATTGCAATTTCACAATTCATTTTATTTATATCATTTTAGATATTTTAATCTCCTGCAAATAAAAGCCATTTCCTAACTTTTGTTGCTTTTCTCTCTCCCTTCTGGTAGAATTTAACCTAGAGTTTCTTTCTTTCTTTCTTTTTTTAACCACTAGGTTGAATCCATTGAGAAGTTTTCAAAACGGTGGCATATATATAATCTAAAATATAAAAAGTAAAATAAAATCTGGAAAGCAGAAAAAGATTAGAAAATATAGCTTTAAAGCATTTTCCTCAATTGTAAAATGCTCTCAGCATTAAGTAAACTATAAAAATTTTCAGTACAACTTGGAATATAGACAACAAAGTACATAGTACTATCAGAATTATTTTTAATACAATTAGCATGATTTTTGCTCTGTAAAATAAATGTAAGTAAAATAATCTCTGGCCATTTCTTAATCCCTCCTTCCATCCCACTGAGAGCAAAAACTGACATCTTATGTTTGTTTACAAAATCCTGTCTGACTATGTCCCAAATATCCTATCTCTGACACTCTCAGTCCATCTTTATCTCCTGAGATTTCTCAAACTCAGCAAATGTGTGCACTTATGAATTTTCCACTGGCCATTTTCACTGCTTGCTGTGACCTTCGTAATATAGGACCATGGCACATACCTTCTACTGATTCAGATCTCTCTGCTCAGTGTCATCCTCAAAGCAGAGCTTTCCCGCCTCCTAATTTAAAACTCCAACTCCCAGACCCCCACCCATCTTGGCACAACATCTGACTTTACAGCCTTTCTGTACTCCACAGCCATTAGAAACATGTTGCCCCTCAAGTACTAGTTGCATTAGTAGTGCCATTTTTAAAACTTTTAGAACTTTTGTCTACTTTGTTCACTACTAAATCTCAGCAGACGAAAAAAAAAAAAAGTCATATAATCAATGAATGGATCAACAAATTCCAAATCCTCCTTTTTGGTTGGTCCTAGTGTTTGTATATAGATACTGTAGAAAATTAGTATTAAACATTGAAAAAACAAGACTGGACCTGGAGAAGGCAAACATGGTTTCAAGATGTCTTTCAGACAAGTATCTCCCCTTTCCATGTTTTCCCTTCCCTGTTCCCTCTGGCAATCCTCACTCTTCTTTCTACTTCTCTGTGTTAAACTTTTTTAGATTCCATTTATAAGTGATAGAATATAATATTGGTCTTTCTTTGTATTGCTTATTTAATTACCCAAACATCTACTAGATTCATCTAGATTGTTCCAATCACAAAAATTCCTACATTTTAAAGGCTGAATAGTAATTCATTGTGCACATACACTGAATTTTTAAAAGTCCATTCATCCATCAGTGGGCATTGCAGTTGTTGCCACATCTTGACTCTTGTGAATAATGCTACAATGAACATAATGAACATGGGGATGTTTTTTAGAACATTTTGTGCTGCCCAAGAAATATATAAATGTAAATGAACAATCAAATAGAAAAGCAGTTTATTGCTATGCCTAAATACTGCTTAAGACCAGTTATAAGGAAATATTGAAAATTAATAATACATCATTTTACTTAAATAACATTAAAATATTTCTCCAACTTTATGGGGTTGTCACAATGCCTTCACCACCACTCAAAATCTGTAAAAAATTGTGAAAGAAAGTATTGAAAAATAACTGAAAAGGCTTTTAAATCAAATACTTTTTTTAGTACTGTTGATGTCACTGCAAATATTTGCATTTCAGTGATATCTGTATACATGATGAAGATAGTACTGTAAATCAGACTTTTGAGCATTTTCCAGTTACACATATTCTGAAATCATTTATTTGTAAACCTCCTTTTAATATGATAAACCAATAATTGTGAAATAAAATTGACATTTTCTATAGAAATACGTTTATTCCCATTTTTAGCTATTATCTTGAGAATATACATTTGCCATCAATATCATATGTTAGCTGTCTTAAGAAACACAAACATATGACTACTAATTAGCATTATTTTCAAAAATTGAGAAAGTACAATAATGACAACCTGCCTTACATGGATTCAGTTTACTCATTAAATTGTAACTATATCACAATTTAACATATAGTATAATTATTTAAAATTTGCTTACTATGCAAAACACCCATACATATCTAACATGCACTAAAAAAAGCTTTTATTGCAAAATGGAAAATAAAAAATGAATAAAATTGAAACTATTAAGAATTGAGAAGTGCATACAGCAGATGCATATAAATATGCTCCTTGTATTATTTTACATACTTGAAGGGCATATAAACAGTGAACAGAAAATTACCCATAATGTTACTCATTTATGCAGATAAAGTAACATGAGAAGTTGATGAGATCTCTGTCATAGATGTGTTTCAGAAAAGAGAAAATGACAAGAAGATGAGCTACAGATCACTGCAATATCTTGTAACTCTTGAACTAATTCATTTCCATTGGTAGATAGCTTACACTTCCCACAGAAGACTCCTCATTTTATGGAGAGAAAAAAAAAAGTTTTCCTATTATTTTATGGAAATAAATTTGAAAGAAAAGGAAGAAAGATGCTTGCCTGTACACATCAGCTTCATGGTGCCTTTTTCCTCCAGTGCCTGAACAGCATTTGATTTCCCTCTTTCATGTCCCTTCTCAAAGCAATTTGCAGAATTCTAAAGAGAGATAATTAAGAATCTTCTTTATGCAGCCTCCCTCTGACTTAAATGCCTTTTATTTAGTAGCACTTTTTGGTGCATCTTATATTTGTTTTCTTTTGTTTCATCTAAGCTCACCCTGATGCCAGATGTTTTTAAATATCCACTCATGACTGATATTACTCACAAATAATTGTGCTGTATTAATTGGGAACCTTCTATATAATAAACAATCTTTTCTCTGGGGATTTTATAAGGTAAAGTACAAAAGTTATGATTCTACATTTAAGGTGCCATAGATTTCTATGAGGCAGAGGAGGTAACTTTACCTTTGTGAAAACAAAATCCACATTTTGAATACAATGCAACTTACAATAGCCAAATTAAGGAACCAGCCCAGATGCCTGTGAACAGTTGAGTGGGTGAAGAAGCTGTGATCTATATGCACAAATAGAGTTTTACTCAGCCATAAAGAAGACCGAAATTATGACATTTGCTAGGAAATGGATGAAACTAAAGAACATCACCATAAGTGAAAAAAGCCATACTTAGAAAATTAAGTATCAAATATTTTCCCTGATATTCAAAAGCCACATAAAACTAATGGGGTAAGGGAAGACCTTGTAAAAATAGAAGATAAATCAATTGAGTAGATGAAAGGAATACAGAGGTAAACAGGAGGGACAGGAAAAAAGTACGAACTGCGGAATGAAATTAACCAAATAATATTATGTACATGTAATATTATACCCCCCGGAATTTTATCTGCATGTATCCTTATTAAGAATCAATTTCAAAAAATAAATAAATATAAAGGCAGATCAGTAGAACCGAGGAACATGCATGGGGAAAGGGGGAGGGAAGGGAAAGAACAAGGACTTATTACTGAATGAAGCCAGTTACATTCCATGCATGCATGATTATGTCAAAATGAAACTCACTATTTTGTATAATTATAATACACTAATAAAAACTAAAAAAGAAAATCTTCCAGAAGTGGATACATTGTTTTTGACCTGTTTCTTAGGTGTAAACCCATACATATCAAATGAGGGATTATTTTTTCTTCTTTTACTTATGAAAGTGCAAACACTTTACACTAAAAATGACATAACTTTGGGATTCCACCTCTTGGGTCCCCTTCTTCCTCCGGGAGAAGTCTTTTCTGCTGTCCTTTAATAAACTTCTAATTTCTACTCT